TATAAAAGTACTTGCCTTTTCCTCATCATAAAACATTCAGGCTTTATCTATGATCATGCAGCCTGACTAGAAATGATGACTGTCGAGTGTCTGGCATATAGAACTAGACAAGTTCTCATACATATGGCTTGTGTATATGTATCTAAAGCCAAGATTCACAAAACAGCTATAGGAATGTACTAACATTCAGTTTTTCCTCCAAGTCACAGTCTGTGGATATCAGTGGTATACTGGGGGATACCAGTGCTGGTGCTGTCACCTGCCATTGACTACATAAGTTCTTGGTCAGGAAGGAAGTGACTTTACATACCTTGTTTGGAAACAAATACTGGGGCAGGTGGTAAACTTAACGTTGGTGTAAGACTGATAATGACTGCAGTAAAAGAAAGTTGAAAATAAATGTGGAAAAGAGCAACCAATTTTTTTTCAGCTTGATGAATTTCCACTTCCCATCTCTCACCGAATGGAGGACCAAGCTGCCATTCAGAGGGACCTCTGTAGGCTGGAGGACTCACTGCAACATCATGACAGTCAGCAAAGACAAACGCACAGTTCTGTGATGAGGATGGCATAACCCCATGCACTGGTACAGGCTGGGGATGGACTGGGTAGGTAGCAGTTCTACAGGAAAGGCCTGGGAGCCTTTTTATTCAATGAAACTTTAAAGTAGAATGTTTAAATTTTGTTCAGTGCAGGGGTGACAATTGAGGTGAGTTTTCTTCTCTTGCAGAGAAAAATGCCCTGTTGGAGTCAGGCAGTGCTGTCTTCTGTGTCTATGGATGGTCATGTCCTCAGCCTGTCATAGACTGTTCTTTGAAGTGTTTATCATTTCTCCATTTTCAGTGAAGGAATGAGCAGCTTCAGAGTTTTCATGCCCATGGAATACCTTCTGGACAAAAAGTACAAGCTTCCTTTTCTGAGAAGTGGTCTATGAAAAAACCCCAAGGAGTTAAAAAGCCATGGCTCAAAAGTCACTGCTATAGTCTCAAAAAGAGTGGTTTAGGTATTTGTCAAAACAAGTAGGGGTTTGAGTTCTTGTGGGCAGAGTAAGGCATCAAAGCTATGCGTCCTTTAATCACTATCATGTTGGCAACAAAATGGTCAAATGTAAGGCCGTAAGTCAGTTGAACATAGGACCTAGAAATGGCATAATCTACAGGTTATTAAACAACTTCTTTGACCTTAAGGGGGTACCAAAGGAATCATGAGAAAAGGTTGTGTTTGGGATGTATGTTTAGGAGGTCGAATGGGGAATGTGGAGTTAAGGAAGTGGGCTGTTCATCAAGATCACATATTTAAGGATACAGAGTTATCAGAAATGGTAACATACAGAATGCATCAGTTCTGATGGTGAGTGTAGCAGCCATAGCTCCGCTGTTTCCAAGACCACTACATCCAACACTTTGAGCCAAACCCCATCAATAGACATAGAGACAGTCCTGAGCAGCATCATTCAAGTGCAGGTGTAGTGTGTTATCCACGGTGCAGGAATAAAGCCAAGATTCAAAGTATTTCTGTTTGTGCCTGTTAGCCAATGCTATTATGTATAAATTCATGCTATCGTATATTGGGCTTTTTGCAACTGTGATTGGAATTACCTGTGATTGAAATTAAGATGGGGTGTTGCATAAAAGCCCAGGGGAGCAATGCATGAGGATGTGGTAAAGCAAGACTATCCTTGTAATGTAAATGGTTCACATTGTGAATTTTCTGGTTGTTACGATTCTACTTCACTTCCCAAATTTGTCACTGCGGATATGCCAGTGGACACAAAAACATGAAAATGATCAGAAATGTTGTTGCGTCACTTCAGAACACAAGACTTGATGAGCCATTATGCTGTACCGTTGCTGAAACTATTATGTCCCTATCTTTAGAAGCAGTTTATTTTTCAAGCTGTAGTTACAGTGATCCATTTTCAATTGGACATGAAACACTGATGAGACATGTGTTGATGAGTTTCCACATACTGTCCTGAAGCTCCATGTTAATTTGTTTCTCAGGGAGATTTTGGGGATTTTTTTTTCTGTTTTACGGGATGTCTCAGAAAAGCTTGTCATCTTGTGTTGTAACTAAATTTAAATTGAACACTCTTCTTTGGTCACTTATTGCATACCAGCTGCTGTTGCTTAGTATTCTTTTAAGAATTCATTTTATCTAATCTGTCATAGGCCAGAGAAATAGGCTTTATTTCTAGTTTTGGAAAATGATTTTTCTTTTGTTTCTTTTGGACTATCCAAAAGGGGTATCTGTCTACAGTATCTCACTGCAGGAGCCTTAAGAAAGCACATTACTGGTCACATACCCGAGTGAAATAATGGAGGAAAAGAAACTCTTAGTTGTTGTTGTCTTTTAATATAATATTTAGGGATTTTTAGCCTACACATGGTAGTTAATAATACTGGTTGTAACAAAGAAATGAAGGGCACTCCTACCCTTCTAGAAACCAAACCAAACCCTTCTAATCTGATTAAATTAACTTCATACTGAAGACTTGAATAAAAAAATAAATACTCTGGAGAAAATACTGTTATGATGAAGAAAAGAATGTCACAATAAATGTAGTCCTGCATGAGTAAAACTATCTTTTCTTTCTGGTTTGCCCTGCCAAAATTCTTCTAGATTTGTACCTGTAATTTTGGTGCTGTAACTCAGAGCAGGCCACTCTGCTGCTTCCTCTGGTGAGGACATACACTTCTGCCTGCAGCCGCTGCCACTCAGTATTGCATTTTTTTCTCCTTGGCCAGTGATAGGCAGGTTCCACAGCTGTGCAATTGTCTTTTTGTTTGCTGAGGTCTTTTAAAGTCTCCATCCTGAAATGTATGGTGGGTGCCTGCATCCAGGCTTCCAAGTTTTCTGTATTAGTAAATGGTTTGACTTTTTATGGACAAATTAAATGGCCCAATTCTTTTTTTAATTAGAGGCACAAACTTCAGCCATCTTTTCAGAGTTGTGGGCTGCGCTCACATTTTAGAGTACCTGTTTGGCCACGGAAATGCAGTTTGGCCAAAGCAATACAGAAATATAACAGACTGATTATTGGCCATGCTGTCCTCTAGAGTTATGACGGTGAACCCCTTCTCCCACCTAACTGTGACAGCGGTTCACAAGGATAAGTGCACTTCTCTTGCAGGCATATTTGGAGAGATCTTACATGCAGTTAATAACATCTGTTCCTCCCGCTTCTCACCTCAGTTTAGGGCCACAGGAAAAGACAGTAGATGTAAGTTGACCCCATGCAACCTAGTGTGTTATGCCTAGGCCTAGCATGTTTTCCTATTTCTGCCTAGAAGAAAATTAGTACCAACTCAAATAGGCTTGAAACATAGTTTATAAAGAAAAAGGTAGGGGTTCAAAAATATTGAAAAAATGAAGTTTCGGTCAAAATCAAAAGGTTTAAACTATGATGATTGTAATGAAATTCTCAGACAAATCAGAGTACAAGTCAGCTTTGGATGAGAAGTTTAGAGAGATATTTGGAAATCACTGGAAGTTCTGACATTTTAAAACAGGTTTCCATTCAATATCACATTAAGTACCACAGTAATGTTTTAGTTCCTCAGTTAGAGGTTTTTGATGCATCATATTGTCCAAATGAACTTTGGAAAAATGAGGAGAATATTTTCTACCACAAGTTCTCATTTCTTAATATCGCTATACAGATTATAGAAGTACAGTTACAGGCACATGTTAAAAAGGCACAAAAGCAGGAGAGTCCTAAAATGGAAGAAGAGGTTGCCTATATATCTCAAAGGAGACAAACTAAAATAACAAAAGCAAAATTTTCTTGTTTGTCATAGGGATTACAGTAAAAAGAAAAAAGGAATAATATTAATTTCATTATTATCATTAACAAAGGGATATTTGAGTGAAAAAATTACCCTGCTATAGGATATGTATCTCCATTTCGGGAAGGTTTTTAAGGATTAGCCAGATATTAGTATTTTTCCAGTAAAAGTGCATGTTATGTATTTCCAATTTGTTTTAGGGAACACTACAGAACATCTCTATCAATATATCCCCACTCTAAATGGAAATTATTAGAGAACCTTTCCCTCTGTTAGGGCACCATGGCAGCTGTGATAAAACTCAGTGCTGAAAATTATTCTTCCTTAATTTTGATTGCAACAGGACATTTGTTATGAATGTCACCTATTGAATTTTATCCTTTCTGCCATTTCAGCAGAATCCAAATAAATCAGTTCTAAACTTAAATTTCAAGATATGTTTATTAAGAATCAAATTGGAGAGCAGAAATGAAGAGAGATATGGATTAGAATGAAAGAGTTCTAGGGTTTTTTTTCCCATGAGAAGATGGAAGCTGTGCATTCTAAGCCTTTGCTACATGGTTTTTTTGAGGATTATTATGCTTGTGATTGTCTAGTTATTGAGATAATTTTTTACAATTAAAAATAACTATATTAGTAATGTTAAAACCCCCCTTTTTCAAATAAACCCAGAGATGATGAGCTAAACATTGCAGTTCTACAAAGGCTTTATCTCAGAAAGGCCATGTCTAGTTTGGTCACCTGGCCATTGTACATTAAGGATGCTTTCAGATTGTTTGCATTGCTCCCTTGCTTTAAGAACTAGGGCAGGGATAGCTGGCTTGGCAACCCTGTGTCCCTTTTTCCTGACTGAGCCAGGCCATGCTTAGTGAACAGCACATGGGCCTTTGGATTTTAGCAGTGCTTCAGATCCCACAGTGTAGATGTGGTCATGGCACCCGCTGTAAAAATAAAACTCCTGACTGAATTGCTTCTTAATTATTTCAAATATGTATTTTCTTAAGTTTACTGAAATAGAAGTTTGATCAGCCTTCAGGTAGTTTTGTTTCATTGTGTCAGTTATTTAAGACTGCATCATCCTGCCCAATGCACCTGTATATTTTAATCTTCTTGTGAGTTCAGTAAGCATATGTAAAAAACCAAAACAACTCTCCAAAGTAACAATAAATTTTAAATGTCTTTCCAGTTTTAATCACTAATATGCTTTCCTACCTGTGTTGTAATGCTTCGTGCAGTAACATAAATCCTTTTCTTCTTTCAACAGAAACTGTGGCAGAGTGAGACCTTCTGCTACTTGAACTGCTCCCTTTTCTTGCCATTCAAAAATGAGATCATTCATTGTGTATCCAACTAAAAAAAAAACAAAAACAAAAACCAAACCGCAAATAAACTCTAAAGCAGCTGGAAACTTTGAAAAGCAGGGACATAACAAATAGTCATGACTTAATCAAATGTCATAAAAAGGAGATAATACAGGGGTCTGTTTGTACCTGTTAATCACAGTGTGCTATCTGCCATTCTATACCATACTGAATTAGGAAAAAAAGCCAGTCCTATGCATCCTTTGTGAAATCTTAATAGTCAGGTAGTCTATTAATGGAATTAACAAAAGCATCAAAATGAGCTAAACATCCAATTCTCTAGGGGACTTGGGAAAATCTTACCCCCTGCCCCCCAGCTGATGAAGGATAAAATAGGCCCTTCACACTCAGATCTCTTTTTCCTTTTATTTGAGGTGAAATGATGGATTGTCAAAGCTATGTTTATGGATTTATGTCAATTTGAATTGTTAGGTGCAAATTCTTCAAAGAGAACAATGAATAAAAATTTCTGCAGGAGTGAGGTACTAGTTGAAAAACTACTTTTCTCCAGAACTGGTACAAAACAAGGGAAAGCAATTGATTGTAGTGTTCTTATATTACCTGACTATGACTTATTATGATATTAAAAGGCATTCGGTTTCAATATTCAGATTCCTGCACTTACCCGTACCTTATGCATGTGTGTATAAGATTAAATAAACCAGCAAAAGCTGTAGTAGAAGTACTAATCAAGGCCCAGACTTTGTAAAGGGCAAGTACTTTTTCCTTCTGTTTGCCTCTCTCAGCTGAATATTTGCATGGGATATCATTGGGGAAAATAGTTTTACTTCCTCTGAATATGTGATATATGAACTTTCCAGTATATCCCTGGCATTTATTCTAAATTTTTTCTGAATTAATTTTATTTGGTTATGACAACTGGGGGAAAAAAAAAAAGCTTCTTATTCACGTTTCATTAAGAAACAGAGTCAAAGTGAGATTTTAAGATTGAAATCTAAAAGTACATAGCTTCTATTGTTGTAATAGTTTGAACGACAAGCGTACATTTGAGCCACATACAATAGCTTGAACCAGAAGGAAAAGGGAGTAATTTTTACATCTAAATTATATACCTTTCACTCATCTATTTTGTTTCTTTCCCGTATTTCCTTTCTGCTTTAGTCCAATGCTAATGAGCTGTTGCGGATAACCTACTGATAACTGGAAATATCTTTTAATCTACCAGTAACAAATTACTGTTCAAAGTATATTGTTCAGAACTTTCTAAGAGTAACTGTCTGCCCTCAAATACTGAAATTTTGAGTTCCAGTGAAGGCAATAACCTCTTTGGTGTGTGAGCATAAATCTTTCCCATTATATTCAGTGACTTCATTATTCTTTGAACACATCTATAAATGCTATTCAGTCATAATGCCCTGATATGCTGACCTCAAATCTGAGACACACTTCATCCTTTCTGATCTATGTTGAATGCACCTATAAGCTAAGAATCGGTGTTTATACATTTAAAACTGTTTTCAACACCTCTCCTTGCTTCTACATTCTTGATGTTTCTTTTGGAGAGTATCTTTATACAAGGTATTCACAGGAACTCAGGCTGACTGTTGGTTTACTTTGGTATTTTGTAGGGGCTGGATGAATATGCTAAAATAGAGACCATATCCTTTTAAATAAGTATTTAATTAAGATCAGACATTACTCAAGTCATTACAAGCGTATACTAACTGTGCAAGGAGACACTTATTTTTCTGTCTTATTGAATGCATGACATTCCATAAACACAGTCTAAAAATTCACTATTAAATGCCATAAACTATGAAAAATCAGAAGTATCAAACTTCCCATGAATCCAGACAAAAAGCAGTTGTGTGTAAAGCAGATTATCATTTGAAGCATGTAGATTATAGCCAGAAGTGATATCCCCTGAGTAAAACTCATTGAACTGACAAGAAACAACTGCTGTGTCAAAATGTATTTCACTAAATCAGATTCATTCATCTCTAATGCTGCCCACTAATTCTTCTATAGTGCACTCTGTTAAAAATAATAGCAGTGTATGCAAAATGCTGATGTGGTAATTCATTTTTATCATGTTTACATTTTAAATACCCAAATAAATCTTTAGCATTCAATACTGTAACTTCAGTTTTGTAAGTCAAGATCATAGTTATAAAGTAAATGTGTCTTAAAATATAAAGGAGCTTAATGGAGATGTGAGTTTATGTTATACCAAAGAAATTTAAAATAGTATAATATATATCATATTTCCACTAGGTAAGTTAAATTAAATCAACTTAAAATAAATCTCTATTAAATATATGGCCCTTTATTAAATGTGAAATACATAGCCCAATCAAATGTGCCCATTAAATTAGGGACATCAAAAATCTTGTAATAGTCCTGTAAGTGGGGAAGTGAGAAAACATAAATTATTTAAGCATACTGAACTATTTGATAACTCAAATTTGCCTCTAAATTTTCTTTAGTGAGCAGTGTTAACAAGGACAGGTATTCCTGATTTTCCAGCTGAAAATATTTTGTTATTTGGTACAGTTCCAAATAAACTGATGATCTCTTTCTTTTTTCCAACTACTGCATTGTTCTTTCTTCTTGGCATGGAGAAAAGGAAGAAAGACTACAGTGGAAAGTATCTAGTCACCAGCAGAAATAAAGTAGAATCAGAATTTCCAAGAACAAACTGCAGCACATGTCCTAGGTCCTTCCCAGGATATCCTATCTACAAAAGGGTTAAAACCCACATTGTTCTGTGTTGGAAATTTTTCAGGAGGAACAACAATACTAATTGAGCTAACTGAGCTTCCTTAATATCTCAAAAAAAAAAGGAAAATATTTTTGGTTTTTAATTAATTTTATATAGAATACCTGCTGAATAGCACAGTGCCTAACACTCAGAATGCTCATAATATTGTGTACACTGTGCATAAGGTGAAAAAGGCATTTCTATAGGAATGGCCCTTTAAAACTGTCAGTGGTTACCATACTGTAGTATATATACTGTTATGATTTAGGTGTATGGCGTTGTATATGCAATGAGCCTAAAAATCAGTCCTCCAGCACCCTAAATTTGGGACTTCTGCTGATTAATGTAATTAGTGTCCCTTACTGAAGTGTCTGGACTCCCAGCAGCATGGGAAGACATCATGGAAGATTTTGAAAAGTTCAGTTTCAGCAACAAAGTAGAGACTTAAGTTCCTGATATGGAAAAGGCACCAAATTGATTAGTGCCATCAATGGGGGGGGGGGGGGGGGAGAACAGCAGAAACAAAAACAGAGGGGGGGGGTGGGGTTGG